ATTCTTAGTTACTTCAATGTTGAATAAAGAGGCTTGTATTTCTGATTTATGGGCCCTCGACTCGCTTGGTATTACGGACCCATCCGAACAAAAGACTAAATTGGAATTGTATGAGGCTACCAGGCAACATTTTCTTGATACTGTAAAAATAGAAGATGACCGCTTTGTAGTGTCTTTGCCTTGGTTGGAAGGGCACCCTCCCCTGTCGGATAATTTTGAGTTATCGCTTAAAAGGTTGCACGGTACGATTAGGCAACTTGAAATAGATAATCTTCGCCAAGAGTATGAAAATATATTCCAAGAATGGCTCAAAGAGGGCATAATAGAGGAAGTACCCGTAAATGAATTAGATTTACCCCATCATTATTTGCCACATAGACATGTTGTTAAGGAACATAGTACTACGAAGTTACGGCCAGTATTTGACGCTTCGTCTAAAGCAAAGGGTTCTCCGAGTCTCAGTCTCAACGATTGTCTTGAAAAGGGATTAAACCTTATTTCATTTATTCCTACAATCTTAAATAGATTTCGCCAAGAAAAAATAGGGGTGATTTCTGATATTCGTAAGGCCTTTCTACAAATTGGCCTGAATTCTAGTGACAGAAACTTCCTCCGATTTCTTTGGATAAAGGGTGAAGATGGCTTGAAGCATTTTCGTCATTGTCGAGTCGTATTTGGTGTAACCAGTAGTCCATTTTTACTTGGAGCTGTTATTCAATATCACACTTAAATTCAATTTTGGAGAAAAATGATGCAGATGTAAAATATCCTTCCAACATTATTGTTAAATTAATGAATAGTTTCTATGTTGATAACTGTGTAACAAGTGTCGGAAGTGAAGATGAATTACAGCGCTTCATGAAAGTATCTTCAGATGTTATGGCAGAACGAAAATTTGAATTACGGGGTTGGGAATATACCGACTGTAGTTTAGAAACAGAAACTATTGCGAATGTATTAGGTTTGTTATGGGAAAGACAAGGCGATACTCTTCAAATAAATGTTGCTAATTTACAAAATCTTTGTTTCGAGAAAGTTACGAAAAGAAGTATTTTGGCAATAGCCCATAAAGTATTTGATCCCATCGGTATAACATGTCCAGTCCTTATATTACCTAAGATGTTATTACAGCGTACATGGGAAACAAAAGTAAAATGGGACGAAGAAGTTAACACCGAAATTAAAAGTAAATTTTTGAAATGGGTAAAAGACATTTTTCTTTTGAAAAACATTAAAATTCCAAGGTGGATACGATATCAGCCAAAACAGTGTTCAATCCATGTTTTTTGTGACGCCAGTCAAGCAGCGTATGCGGCAGTAGTTTTTATTCGTGTAGAAGAACCTGAATCAGTTAAAGTCCAGTTGCTTCAGGCTAGGTCTAGAGTTTCCCCTTGTGGTAAAAAGGAAACTACTATTGTAAGATTAGAATTGTTAGCAGCAACTATTGCATCTCGTCTTGCTGCAGACGTTCTAAAAGACTTTGAGGCCAGAAGTATATTTTTCTGGACAGATTCAACTACTGTCCTTGCATGGATAAAAAGGGAAGAACAATGGGGGACATTTGTAGAAAATAGAGTACAGGAAATAAGGCTTTTGACACGTGTGGAGGATTGGAGGCATATACCTGGTCACCTTAACCCTGCAGATCTTCCAAGTAGAGGGTGTTCAGTTCGCCAACTCTCCCGGTCAAAATGGTGGGAGGGTCCGAGCTGGCTTTTAAAATCCCAAGAAAATTGGCCGAGTGCCGAATTTATAACTGATGAAGCGGAAATAGCCAGCGAGAAAAAAAAGGCAGTGGTTTCATCTCTAGTGTCTACTGAAAGGTTTAGTTTGAGTGAGCGATTTTCTAGCTATCGAAAAACAGTTAGAGTTGTTGGTTGGATTCAACGATTTTTCTTTAATTGCAGAAATAAGAAAAAAAGGAAAGGTGAACTCACTGTTGATGAAATTGATTTTGCAGAAAAGGTTGTTATTCGCTTGATTCAATCGGAATCGTTTCAGGATATAGAAGACGCACGCTTACGAACTCTTAGTCCATTTTATGATGCGGGAATTCTAAGAATTAAAACTGGTGCGTTTCGAAGAGATGACACGTTAGAGTTTAGAACACCTATAATATTACCAGGAGAACATCCATTAGTTAGGAATTTAATTATGGAAGAACATAAAAAGAAAGGACATGCAGGTGTACAATATATACTGAATACCTTAAGGGAAAGGTTTTGGTTGTTATCTGGCAGAAGAACTGTGCATTCTGTTTTGAGTAAATGCATTACTTCCAAGAGATATTCTGCTGTACTTGTTGACCACATATCAGCCCCACCGCCAATAGAGCGAGTAAATGATTCAGCAGTATTTCAAGACACGATTAATTACCCGAAATGGAATTTTTCTTAGAGCAGTTCGAACTCTGTATTCTTTAGAGGTAATGCAAAATGATGTACCCGTGAAGCTGCAGAATGAAAAACAAGATTCGTTGTCTGAACTTAAACTCAACATAGATGATAAATCTGTCAGGCCTGTAACACGATCTGGTAGAACTGTACAGACAGACTGGCATATTAAGGCTCTTTGGCATTGTTTTAATTTGATGTGAAAGTTCACTTTTTTTTCCCTTAGGTGGAAGGATGTTAAATATTTGCATAATCGCCTGTAGTAACGGCAACCGCCGTCAATAAAAGGAGGTGCTTTCCTTAGTGGCACAGCAGTTCATTTTAGTTCGAGCCAGATTGGACCTGCCCGGGGGAGAAGCCAGGGGATGAGAGATTCCGGTTCCCGCCTTGTTGCGGATCCAGTCCTGTTCTGGTTCCCGTCTTGTTCCAGTCCTGTTCCGGTCCTGATCCAGTCCTATTCCAGTTCCAGTCTGGCCGTTTAAGTCCAAAACACGTAGGAGCGGATGTCTGAATTCAGCGAATGGAGATATACGCCGAAAGGGCTAGATGGATTCTGTCTTTTAAGGGAAAGTGTTCTTCACCGTGCCGGCATAGCTGTTACTTTAAAGCATTTTGAATGTTTTTTCCGCCCAAGATGTTAAGTTTTCGTTTATGATGTTAAGTTTTCATCAGTGTTGAAATTCCAGTTAAATAAACCTTTAAGTTTTAGACAAGGTTTTTGTGTTCTTCAGAAAATTTTAGATTCGAAGTCAGATATAGCACATAGGATTATTATCGGAAAAATCAACAGATTTTGTTATTCAGTATTTTTTACTCACTTTTTCATTAAATTTACGTTTTGCCCATTTTTTTAGTAGCAAAATGTGGCGGTCCGTGTATATTTCTGTGTTATTTTAAATAGTAAAGATTCTAGGCTTTTCTAAGCTTCATTAAAGTTATTAACAGAATTTGGAGTAAATTTTGAAGAAATAAAAGAGGAATTATTATTGATATTCTAACTTGTTTAAAAGCTTGTGATAATACTTTTAATGATTATCCTTTGCTGATACTTTTTATCAGCTCGGTTCTTAATCTTCTTGATCAGATTCAAGTTCTTAATTTTTGATATGGCAGACAATCCTAAGTATCAAATTTTTTTCAAAAATGTATGAAAATTTTAAAGAATTTTCGAATAAATACGTTAATTATATATCTGACATGTTAAGTAGTTTTAAAATGTGTAAATTAAAAATGATCAGTATTTCTGAAATAACAAAAACATTATCATTAAAATGCAGAATTAATAAGATGAGTTTTAAGTTACAAAAACTTTTATGACATGATCATCCATTGGAGGTAAAGAAAAAGGCAGGAGGTTCAGCATTAAACTTTTTCTTTGGTTGCCAGATAAAAAATTAACATGAAATTTTAAATGCAAATAACTACAAAGTTTGTACAGGTTTTAGAAAATTTACCATTTAGGCATAATTTGAAGCCTGTGATTGGACCGTGGAAAATATTCAGCTTGTCTTTTGTGAAAATTCAGACTTTGTGCCAATATGTGTTTGTTGAGGTAGTGATGGATATAAATCTAATCTAATACCTTTTTGTTCTATTCTTTTCTATCCTATTCTGTATCAAGATGTATGTTAGGGTAATGGTATATATAAATCTATCCTAAGTTATGCATTTAGGACATAAATATTGTAAATTGAATTTTGCTATACAGCCGATTAAAACAAGTAATACAGAATAATTTCTCCATTGATTTTTTTTTGGGGGGGGGGGTGAAGGTGATTATGCTTCTGACCTCTTTGATTAAAAACATAAGGCTATGGCTGTTTAACTGTAGGTTTAAACATGGTGATATATAATTGTTATATGTCCATACCCATGCAAGAAAAAGGAAAGTGCTGTATTTAATGTTTGAAAAAAGAAATATAATCAGTCTTGAAATGTTTGAATTCATGCTGAACATTTAATTGCATTTTGTGACAGATTTAGCTTTCTCTCTATCAGTTTATTATCTTCGACAGTAATTACTTAACAGTAAACCACTTGTAGGAGCATTCTGCATTGCACCTTAAACTTGATACCATGATGTGATATTGCCCTTCCTGAAAATAATCTTCATTTTATATTGAAACCTGGTAATATATCATGTTACGCTTTTTTTTTGGTTTTTATTTATTTATTTATTTATTTTTTGCATCTAGATGATTACATTTTTTTGACATTGATGGACAAGTGTTTACCTTACTGTGAAATGCTAATGAGAAAAAATGAGTGTCCATGTAATTTATTAAAAAATTGGTAATTTCAAAATATGACTAATTAATTAGAACTTTTGAAAAATTCATTAACTCACTATTTTAGGCAACCTTCAGTAAAAGCTAATCATAGTGGAAATACTTTTTTTTTAGTTAAATTGTTTCCAGGTCATAAGTTTGTTTTTAAAATGAAAAGAAATTCATATAATTTTGGCAAATATTTTATTTTTTGTGTGGTTACTATCTAAAACATTTTTAAGACTTTCAAATCACATTTTGCATACTTTTTCCATCCTACCTTGCTTTTTGACATATATGACAAATCCCTTGTATATTAGCTATATGTATTTCTTTCTAGGATTAAAATGATGAACATTTTTGAGCCATGTACCTTACAAATAGGTGACAGGAATTATCTTATAATAAAAGATTCATATGAAGTGGTTTCTCTTAATGAATGGAAGAATCGCATGACAAGCCGTTTAAATGTTGATCCTTACAATTCACCCATAAAACGAAGGAATTTAAAAAAATCTGAGAATGAAAACAAGGAGAATGATGCAGAAACAGACATTGTTTGTAATGAAAATATGGATGATAGTTCAGATTTTGAAGACATTGATGATGACGACATTGGTAAATCATCTGATACTGCATCTGTAACAAGTCATTCAACTGCATCTTCTATTGAAACTAATCAAGGTAGCTGTTTTTGTCTTATGTGCAAGTTTCTTGTCCTTTTTATTAATTGGCCAATGATTCCTCATATTCCTTTTTAGTAAACAGAACTGTCTCTTCATTGATATTTATTGTGTTAAAACTGTCTCTTCATTGATATTTATTGATATTTTAACATCCTTGTTTCATTCTTTTACCTGAAATTATAACTAGATAGTCTTAGTTTCTGTTTTAGATTAACTTCAATTTATACTGTTTTATTTCCTTTTTGTATATTGTATTTGTTGCTGAAATGCTAAACATGAAATTAAGCAAAAAAGCAGATTGGGATTAATTTTTAAATAAACTTATTTTCTTTTAAAGCCATAGTGAGCAAAAAATACTAAAATAGTAATTAATTCTTTAAGAAATAGTTAAATTTGGAAAATATATATATGTATGTATCACTGCATATGCACTGTGATCATAAAAGTCCTTCTTTTACAACTGTTGGTTGTAGATATGTAGTTCCAGTAACAGAAGTGATTGAAATAAGGAAAATATTTATGGTTTGACATGTTAAAATTAAAAAACTCAATTTTAAATAAGGAAATCGTTTTATGTGATTTCTGTAGTTATATTTAATAAAAGTTCATACACAATCTAATATTGATTCAAAACATTTGACACCTGTTTGAAAAAAAATTGAGTGTGATATTTAATTTTGATACTTTCTGATTGTCTTCCAGTTTCAACATTTGTTAGAATTGCAATATTTTTAATGTATTTCTGAGTATTGTGAGGGTGGATAAAAAAAAATTACAAGGGTAATAAAATTATTTATTAACAATAGACAGAAAATACAAAAGGAAAGGGCATACTTTCCCATCATTTTCCATAAAATTACCAAATCTGTTTAGGCATTTATCTGAATGCAGGACCAACTTGTTTAAGCTGGAATTTTAGAAATCATGTCCCTGCCCAGTGGGCCGATTACCTGTGGCTGTTTTGACATCAGAAGAGAAACTCATTCCAGATAAATGTTCCTTCAATTTCGGAAAAAGAAAATATTCGTTGGTACTAAACCTGGGCTATATGGGGGGTGATTCAAGACTTCACACTTAAACTTTTGCAAAAATTCTTGAGTTTGGCAAGCAGTCTGGGACCGAGCATTACTATGCAGGAGGATGACACCATCACTCAACATACCAGGGTGCTTGCATCAGATATCTTCACATAACCTTGGTTAAGTGGCACAATAATGATTGGCAGTAATGACATGGCCACACTCCAGATACTTGATCAGGATCATGACATAATGTAGGCTCGCACGTCGAAGTGAGACCAATTTTCTAAATATTTTTGCCATTTCAATAGTTCTGACGTATTTTTGAACTTAACTCTACCTACCTGTACAGTCGCAGCTAAACAGCTAGTACGTACATTACCTGCCACTTATTAAACTCTCTGGTTTACAAACTCGGCCATTTTTTAAGTTCAAATTTCCCGGAAGAAAAGCACTATTTATTAAACTCATCTCCACTACTTATTAAATTCAGAATGTCAAAAGACTGATTTCTCATTGCCTGAATATCCTACTTATATCTGTTAAAACTGTTCCTAGTTCGTTCATTTAACATATTGTGTACTGTGACTTTATCCTTCAGGTATACAATGCTTTAATAAAAAAGGTTTGACTGAAATTTTCTCTTAAAGTTTCCAACTTTAAAATAATATAAAATAAATGCTTGGGATAGATACTTAAAGTTCTTGTAGAGTTTTAAAAGAATTCATGAAATGCTTCTGTGTTCCTGTACATCATAGCTGTCAACTCTTCCAGTTTTACCAGGAGACTACCGTTTTTCCTCACATCTCCTGGTATCGGTAGATTGCTGAATTTCTCAGTTTTTAATTTTTAGCATTTTTACTAAGGAAAATAATTTCCACCAATAAATAAAACTTATTGATGTTATGCAAATTCTATTTCTATTCTGTTCACTCTCTAGTAATTTTAAGAATAATTTTCCTTTTAAAATTTTATTTCATCTGAATTGTAATTTTTTCTTATTACATATAATTGACTTTTTTCTTATGAAGTTTCATTTTACCTGAGTTGTCTTAATCTACTGCAGACATTTGCAGATTTTTATATGATGATTCAATGTTTAATTAGTTAATATTTGTATTTGCTTTACTTCATTATATAATATATTACTGAGTTCATCCAGATAAATATAATGCACATTAATTATTAATTTTATTTTTATCATATTTAAAACCACTTCAATATTTAAAAGCTTTTCTGCTCTATTTGGGATTTTCCCAGCATAAAAATGTAAGAAAATTACAAAATAAAAGTAACAAGAGATAATAACATTTAGAATATTTAATTAAATACTAATACATTTTATAACAGAATTGTATTACAAATAGTTTAACATATTGAACATTATAAAATGAATTTAAGTCATTCAGGAGTTCCTTTGAAGTGACATCACTGCACAGTGTGAAAAAATCCCAATTTTCTCACAAAAATCTCCTGCTTTTTCAAATTTCAAGGTTGGCAGGTGTGCATACATTAATCCATATCTTAATCATTGTGTGGAAAGGAAATGGTAACTGTAGACTGAAGAAAAAGCAAGGAAAGCATTGGTCATGTTTGTAATCATAAAGTGGCAGGTCGACTAAACAGATGAAGGGCAATCTTTCTGCTGGCTAGAAATGTAAATTTTAAAATTTGAATAAATCACTAGAAGAAGAAATTCCTTTTTTTAGCCCAAAAGAGCAAGCAATTTGCCCAGAAAGTCTATTAATTTCGTTTTGGCATTTTGTGTTGATTCACTATAAATGGTGAATCACTCTCTAAATTGTTGCCAGCAAATATTAGAGCCCTGTATTATATTTAAAGACATTAAATAATGAAAAATTTTCATAAATGTATGTATGTTTCTCACATTGTGATAAAACAATGGTACTTAGAGCCATCAAATTTTGAATAACGTACATCTCCACCCGAATATGGGCATCTGGAAGCCCAAATTTGGAATTTGTTTTATTATTGATTTCATATTTTGTAAAACATTTGAGTTTTTGATTCTGAAACTCAAAGATTTCAAAGTGAGCAATGGCAACACTGTATGAAAAAAAAAAAAAAGTTTTTTATCTCCAGTATGCAAGACTGTGTATTGGAAATTCTTGCAATATTGCTGTTGAACTTAATTTTATGGTTTAAGTGCAAAGAACATGATATTTAATAAATAAAGGTAACACACAAGGTATTAAAAAAACGCCTCTTTGGCCGTAATGTAAAATCTGAAAGCTTTGAGTTTTTTTTTTTAAGAATTTGTTGCGTGTTTAACTTGTAACTTGTCAAAATGCCACAAGAAAGGCTTGCTGGAAAAAAAAAAAAAAACTGTTTATAGGTTTTTAATGTTCTTAGTAATTGCAGTCAGAAAAAACTACATTTAATTTAGGAATAGCATTTTCCAGTTTTCTTAAGAAGGAATTATAATTAATAAAAAATGCAAATGTTTCAAGGAAGACCAAAAGGATAGAAAATCTAAAAATGTTGAAATTGCCTTTCTGGAATGGTTTTAAGATATAAAGCTAAAAATGTTTCTATTTCTAGAGTTTTCAATCATTCGCTAAATTTTTATGTCAACTGATACATGGCTTACAAGTTAAAGAGAAATGTACCATTATTAATCAGAAATTACATGTTGAGGAGGAAGAAGCAGATCATCCAGCAACTTATAACTGGATTGCTACTAAATGAATACAAGAAATTTATAATATAGATTAAACTGGGCCATGTTGCAGAGCATTACCAGAACACACATTAATATTTAAATGTGAAACAGCAGTTGGTTTAGGGAACAGAAGGAATAGATTACGGTTCGGTTTTATTAGCTTGCAATAAGGACCAACTATTAAGAGACAGCACTGGCTATTGACAAAAGCCGGAAACCTCAATGTTTGAAAGAAGTCAAGAATTTATTTCTAACTTGCAGTAACAAGAACTCATGAATGAAAAATATTTTCACTGATTTTCTTTTGAAATGGTACAACTGAATTTGAAAACATAGTTTTAGTAATTAAGTAGAGATAACAAGTGCAGCACACACAGTTCTTTCAAAAAAAAAAAAAAAAAAAAGAGTTGGTGTATCTTCCTAAAAATACAATTTCTAACATTTCAACCATTAGCTTTTTAGGGTATTATAAAAGCTTTCAAATATCATTAAAAAAAAGTTCAGTAAAGGATGAAAAGTATTGAATTTTGTGAAAATTGAAGCATTTTGAAGGGTCAATGCACAGGGTTAATCTCTATATCAGTTCTGTTTTTAAAAATGTGCTTTTTATGTTGAAGAAACCTCAGAGGAAGTACAACTCAGAACTAATGTTTCAGATATCAGTGAGGGAAGTTATGAAGATTCATTTGTAGAAAGAATATTATTTGTTAATTAGCAAGAATATTAAGGCAACATGTGTAAAAAGTGGCAATGAAAGTATTAAAAAAGAACTTCAGAAACTGTCAGCAAAAGTGATATAGAAAAAGTGATTGTATGCCATCACCATTCAAATCTAGAAAAGCACTGCAAGTTTTAAATAAAAATTCTTGAACTGAAGAGATTTTGATCAAAAAAGCTATCAACAGTTTGAGTTAAGAATGCAATTGAAAAACTATTGTTGAACAATATGAAATAGACACAAATAGAACAGTTCATAAGAGAGAAAATTTCATCAAGAATATAAAAACTATTTTTATAAGAAAATGATTTTGAAACTTGCATAAATAGTTCAATTTTAGTATTAGTTTTTAATTATTATTTTAGGATTAATTAATGAGTTAATTGTTAACTATTATTTTGCTTGAAAAGTTTAAAATTGCTATCACTGATTGCAGTATACAGATCTTTGTCTTTTAAACTCAGCCACTTAATAAACTTGAACAGAAAGGGATTTTAATAAGCAGTGAGCACTATATATGTGGTAGCACTAATCCACACATTCACATACCACACACATATTTGAGTCTTGTAAATATA